TGTGCCTAATGGACTTCTAATATACTGACTCTGATTTCTTTAATGATTTTTTTAAATGACAGACGGCAGAACTAGGCTAAGCCAAAACTCGCCTGCTGACTGAATGAATGAGGAAATCAAATGGAGTGTGTGGCTCTGAAAGAGGGCGGAGACAGAGAGAAACTCGAGGTTCATTGAGAAAAACCTGGTCCTGACCAGGTTAGGTTCATAGAGTCTGTTACTACGGTAACTAACCGAGAGCTTAAGTTACCTCTCTCTCTGAAACAGGTTAGAGTTACCCCTCTTTCTCTGGTTTGAGTTACCTCCCTTTTTGAAACGGAAAACTCAGAGTTTCCCTTATTTCAGGGTTAACAGACTCAGAGTTTTCACTAAACCTGCTTTGTGAAACGGACCCCTGACCTTTCTCACAGGGCATCATGATGATTTCGGAACGGACTTCGGAACAATGGGTCTAATATGGTCAGAACAATGGGATGTCGAACCAATGGGCTGTCGGACCAATGGGCAGTTCCCATCTAAAACATAGCTAGATTATCATACCCCGAGTGTAACTAATTACGTGCCTTACCCTTATTGATCCCGTAGTTGAAATTGTCTAGGAGCAGGAGCACGGATGCAAAATATATCCATGAGCAGGAGTCACCATGGATGCAGGGGTCACTTGCAGGTGCCAGGTGGGAGCTTCTCGCGAGATTTTGAAGTATCTCGTCTCCTCGTTCAGGAAAAAAATTTACCATGATAAACAGAAAAAAATTACCACAAAAAACAGAAAAAAAAAATACCCCGAAAAACAGAAAAAAATTACCACGAAAACCAGAAAAAATTACACCAAAAAACAGAAAAATAAATAAATTACTCCGAAAAACAGAAAAAAATACTCGGAAAAATAGGGCTTTTTTAATTTGTCAAGTGAATGCAATACGCTTCCGTAAAAACTAGACTAAAACTGCGATGGAAGAAAATGACTAAAATGTTGCTAAAACTAATAAGCATTTTTGTCTCAAGACTAAAACTAACACTGTGTCTCAAATCACATACTTCCGTTAGTACACTTCCATGTACTATACTACGTGCACTATGTACTCATTGGCGTAGTGCATGAATTTGGACAAGGTAGTGTTGTCTCAAACCAAACACAGGTTGTGCACTCACCGGAAATGACGACTGCAAAGAAGCTAGTTAGCAAACTAGCATTAGCATTATCATTCTCGGTACGAAATCATTACAGACTGCTAAATTAACCCAATAAACATACTGCTGGCTTATACCCGACAACAGTATAGCGGTGCTTAGTGGTCCCTCCCCTTCCGCAATGTAGTCAAGATGGCGACCATTGAGGGCGAGAAGTGTCCATAGTTCCACACTCAACTTCTTGACTGTTTTGAACGCACCATCCGGGTACTCATAGTGCAGTGCATTTTTCCATACTTCTCAGTGTGAGCGCACTTGTGCACTCAAAATATTAAGTGTAAGTACAGAAGTATGTGATTTGAGACACAGCATAAGACTAGATTTACACTGGCTGTCAAAATTAACACTGCAATCTATAGTGAGCTAAACAGCATCAGAGAAACACTGATTTGTAATGTAAAACTGCTTTATTCAGTGTTTAAATCACCATGTCGCTTTGTTTTGGAGAGGAGGAAACCTTGGAGGATAATTCTGCTCCTGGTAAAAACCTCCTGAACAATGAACACTAAAGGAATCCTAACCAGGAGTTCATGCTTGGCACACAGGAGGAGTATTAGCTAGTTGCTATCTGTATTCCTTGCTGCTAGATGCCACTAAATCCTACACACGTCTCCTTTCAGCCTGAAGTGAGGCATCTGATAACTATCCTGACCTGGACACGATAAGTGGGGGAACAGGTTTCCATGGTAACCTAGGTCAGTCTTATATAAACCTCCTTCATGAAACATAACTTCCTGAAAATAAGCCTGATTTACTGAAGTAAGCCGGGCTAACTGGTGATCTTGGTTAATGAAACACTCCCCTATTTAAGTATGAATGACATGACAGAGCAACAGGTTGATGTAAGAATTCAGAGTGCAATTTATTGTTGTCATATCTGAGTTGTGAAGTTCAAAAACTTTCAAGAAAGTCTCATAACTGTTTAGAAAAAGAAGTGCATGAGAAGTTGTTTGTCCAAGTCCACATTTTATAGTACTAAGAGTGGCTAACAGTATAATAAACACAGTTACACACCGCCATCATTAGATAAAATCAACATTTATTATAAAAATACAACCAATTGTGTCACAGTCATGGCGTCCCGTATGGTCCTTCCTCACAATTCAACACGGGAACAAGTCAAAGCCTGTGATGTTCCCCGATTCATAGAGCAAATGTGCTCTAAAACAAAGTTCACACACACATATACACACAAAAAAAAAAGGATAAAGAACAATGTGATTGAGCTCGGCTACCATGAGGATATAAAAATAGATAAGGACATAAGGTTCCTTCTCAGACAGGAAATGAAGGAGATGGACTGAGTCGTCTTTCACACATCACACTCATTATCCATTCCTCTCAGACGCCCCCCCTCCTCCCTCCATCACATGCTGACTTTTTGGAAAAGAGACAGAATCCGTCAGTGTGAAATGAGGTCAGCAATCGCGTCGCTGATGGAAAATCACCTACAGTACCCTCCAGACCACGGACGGACACACGCACACACACACACACACAGCCGGGGAGTACGTACACTTTCTCTTCCACGCTCGCTCTCCGACACACACAGATGTGTTGCTAAAGGGTTGCCATGACAACTCCCTTAAATTCCCAGTCGGTCAGAGTGAGTGTGAGAGTCTGTGTGTGTGTGTGTGTGTGTGTGTGTGGGGATAGTGTAATCGAGTAGAGTCATTTAGGGCTCAGAGAGAAAGTCATTTTGTTGCAGAAATGTCCATTTTTAAGACAATTTCAGGACTGTGCGCTTCCAAATAAGCCTGCAGCTCGCAGGCTGTAACACTGAGAGGTTGTTTTAGCTATGACTAAACAGTCAGGAAATACTGTGCTCTCCCCTCCATTAATCACATCACTATCACTACGATTTATCAGCCTGACACCAGTCCTTTAGGTTGGCATTTAACACAATCACACCTCATTCATTTTATTTACAGCCAGCATCCTAAACAGATTAAAGTGATTAGACGTGATCTACAAGTTAAGTGTTGCATCATAGATTTTGATTTCATCTCTGGTCCTATGATGAAATATCTCCATCGCAAAAAACACAACAGTCTGCTTTCATAAACAAGCAGCTAGAACAAACCACATGGATATTGCAACACTTGCACTACAGTAATTTATCTGTATTAGAGTAATGGGTTCGGGCACAAATAAAGTCTGATCCCCAACAAAGGATCTGACATTAAAAACCCAGTGAAATGGAAAATAGACTTTCCCAGTTCTAATCCGGTGTCCCTGTATTAATTGTTCATTTATCTCTTGTTATGCCAAATATATGGTAAAAAACAAAGAAAAAACAAACAACAAAAAAACTCCATATTGGAGCATTTTTACATCCAAATCCCTGCAATATCTTTTATTTCAAAATTGCTTCAACATTTGATGACTCATCCAGCACTCAGGCGTTTAGCTCATCCAATCAAAAAAGAATTTGGGCGATAACGGTCATATAAAACTACACTTCATCATTTGCGGGTCGTTGTAGCTAACGAACAAAATGAACAGAGATAGGAAGATATTTGTGTTTGGATATCAGTGGGTAAAACCTTTGCTTTCATTTCCAAAACTATTAAGGAGAGGTCTAATTCATTCATCTCTCCCATGTCCTCTTGATCTACCAACGCAAACACAGTCTTTTAATATGGCGGGGTTTATATCCTCCTGAGTCCCTGTGTCTTCACATTTTGGGTTTACAGGACCTCATGCTTCATTCTACTTGACTTAAACCTGTTGTCCTTCTTTGTGGACACTTTTTTGCGCCATCTAGTGGTGGTAAGACCACAATACACTAATCCATGTAAAAACAAGATGGCAGCCATCTCTGCCAAGTCAGTCTGCAGCTTATCTTGACACAAAAGGTCCAAAACCTGATCAAATGTTATGGTTGAAACTTGTTTCTCTATGATTAATAATGTTTGTAGTTTGATATGGCAACATGTTTGACTAATCTTAGTAACGGTAACAAGCTAAGACACTGATAATTAGGAAGCACTCGTTTGAGGACACTGGGACTTAATTATCGTCAACAATGTTTCGTTTTTTATACTTATCGTGTCCTACTAACCCCAAACAGCTAGGGGAAATTAAAAATGCATACCAGGTCAGGTCTCAGGAGGATATACACATTGCTGCTAATTTGGTAACACATCTGACACACCCACCAAACGAGAGCAAACATATCCATAAAGCCCTGGCAGATAGTGTACTAAGATTTCCAGGAAACATGTTTTCCAACCCAGAAACTGGAGCAAAACAGTGCAGACTGTTTTCAGACCGAACATGCCCCAGGTAATGGAGGTGTGTGGAGCCAACAGTCTGCTGTAGCTCCGTATCGTGCTTAACTTGAAGCCCGCCGCTTTTAAGTGTTCCAATCAAATGCACCAAATGCAAGAGATTTGATTAAAATCCTTCTTGTAAGTGTATGTGGCTCAAATATTCTGTGTAAGTGGAAAATACATCAAAGCACAGTAGCTAAAGACACTCTAAATTCTGTTTCACTGAGACTTTAAAATGATAATCCTGGAGATTTTCACAAAATAAAACCCATTTTTTCTATAATCCCCTTTCTATTTATTTCCATTCTGGCAGTACCTCTCCATATAGTAGTTTTCATTCTTGGTGGTGGGGTCCGCCATTCCTGCGCTGGCTTTAAATTCTGTTTTTCAGCCTTGCTGTTTTATCTGATTAAAATTAGCCATGCTGTTTTCTGTCTAACATTGTATCAGAGCTGTATTAAGTTACTGTTACCTCTCATGAAAGCTGGTAATTTTCTGCTGCTGCTGCATTAAAAGTATAAAACTGGCAACACATGGGGTGGCTTTTATTGTGGAGGGAGTCACAACAAAGGCTTTTTTTTTTAAAACAGTAGATCAGGTGTAACTATTGCTACAGATGTCACCCTGCGAAATATTTCCCTGTATACTGGATAGTAAAAAAAAAAAGCTTCCTGTCTTTTACCTGTAAGGGCAGTGTAAGAGGCTATATACAGACAGCTCATAATCTGATCAGAGGTCAGCAGTCAGCTCCACTTTTAAACACTGTACCACGTTAAACATATAAAACACACACAATATGTTAATGTGAATAGCTTGCATAGGATAGCCAACGAGGCAACAGACTGTAGCAACAGCAAGCTTAGTAGAAATAGCTACAACAGCTGGTTATTGTAGGATCATTAAAGGAAAATTCCACCCTTTAATTCTGTCACATGTCAGATAACATAAACATGCTACATTCAGTACAATAGACTTTTTGGGATGACAATGAAATATATCTTTTCCTTATCCACACTTTGTCTCAGACTGTCTGATCTATTTTTATATCCCTTAGTGAGTTCCTACATCTCCCATGATGCTTTTCAAAAGCCTTTAAACATTGCTTAAGTGAATTTCGCACACAAGCCACGTCTGCCTTCCTGTCAACGGTTGGTCAAGAACTTCTTTCTGTTTCCTCTTTTATGTTGAATCTCTGTTTGCACTGTTGCCACGGTTATCTGCAGAAATAGGGAGAAAATGCAGAGGCTGCCTGCAGGGGCTGTTTTCAATGAGGTTTCAGTGTTTCAGGGTGGAATTTTACTTTAACGATAGAAAAGTTTGGATACATTTAAAGTTACACTGACAACATCTGACTTAGAACACAGTTTTAGAACACATTCAATGATCTTTATGTGCCCCTGTTGGGTCGCCGGGGGCAGAGATTCATTTCCCAGGAAAACATTCAGCAGAGAGAGGAACTAAAGTCAAGGCTCCAGATTCTGTACACTTTCTAATGTGTGGCTGGCATGTAGTCTCGTCTGTGTTGGTTTAAATTGACCACTTTTCAGTCAAACATACATATTTTTTTTTCACTTTAATGAATACGTAGAATTCTGGGAGATTGAGCCATTGGTCAACTTTACCCTTTTTAAAGACTTGTTTGCTGGTAGAAATGATTTACAAGAAACATATTGTATGACTGAATTAATATCTCACATTTTTATCTGCTGATATGAATTGACCAACATGCCAGTCTCCAAAAACCTCTTCTTGTGTGCCTCTAAGAACAGGGGCTTGAACTGTACAAAAAAACAAAACAAAAAAAAAAAAAAAAAAACAAGCTACATGTTTGTGATTTTTCCCTCCTTTGGCCTTCAGACCTGCAGAAGCTTCCTGAGGTCCTCGTCCATGCCTTGTGCACTCAGCTGCTCCAGGCTGTGGTAGCGGTGGATGACATTGTCGGCGGTCACTACCACCACCCTGACGCCATGAGTGTCCTCGCCGAGCTGGCATCCGATGGCAGAGCTCACGACCATGTCCAAGCCGCCGTGGCAACCGCCAGCGTTTCGGTGGTAATGGCCAGAGAACACAGCTTTCACCCCTGTGGCAATGAGAGAGGTGTGAGAGTGCTAGATTTCATCAAAGAAGAAACTACACAAATCCAAACATAGAATGGGTGGAACACAAGAGCTTAGAGCTGGGATAGGCAGAAATCTGGAAAAGGCAACAAAAAAAAAAAAAAGAAAAAAAAAAGGGTGACCCCCCAAAATCTGCAGCTCTTCCCTCTGTCCTAAGCCCCTCCCACCAGACAACCACGGGCATGTACTCGCTCTTCATACAGTGACCCAGTATTTCCCATACATTTGGATTTATTTCATCCTATTCCTTTGGAGAGTTGCAGCCCACTCTCTCAGCCCCTCCCTGCTTTACTCTCCTTCTCTGTTTATCAGACCAAAATGAGACAAGAATTAGCTGCTATCCACCCCACGGTTCATTCGCCTCACTCTCCACCTCTGTGGACTGCTTAGCGGGGGGAAGACAGGCAGCAGTTCTGTAATAGACCTCTGGTTGGCAGCTGTAGAGTCCTGAATTTGGCCAGTGCAAACCTCACCGGTGCCAGGTGTCACAGCAGGCTGGTGGCCAACGGCAGCACTGGGTCTAACCTGTGTAATGGCAGCAACATAAAGTTTATATAACCGGTGAAGAGTTGGGGCTGTGCAATTCCCTGGAGCTTGGGTTCGCACTGGCTGGATTTGGGTTGCTGTGGCTGATGACTGGGGGACCATTTCCGAAGCTGCTGTCTGCTCTCCCCCCAGTGAGGTGGTCTGTTGCGGCGGAAAGTGAGGTGGAGGACACACTGTGATTTGAGGCTCTAGCTAACGTTAGCTACATAAACTTGAACTTAGATGCAGTCATGAGCCTTTGGCTCCGGTTAGCAGAAGGCTAAACTATTAGCATAATTTTCTCTCCATCTCTGAAACACTTCGCCGATACTGACACGTTTTCGCTCATTTACTGTCAGACTATCTTTTTGATCAGTCCATCTTTTTTGTTTTTGGGTTGCTTTGCAGTGTAGGCAGTTGGTGCTAATGCTGGAATAGCAACTTTCTCTGCAGGAATTTCTGCAATTGAATCAGGCTTTCATCAAAGGGACATGCATGTGCATCTACATTTGTAGAACAACCAACAGGAACGCCCTCTCTCTGAAATGACCTGTGATTCCCCAAAATCTCCCGTCATGGCCTAGATTTTCTAAAGCCTGAAGGCAGAACAAGGAGGGGTGCAGAAGTTTGTGTTCTTTTAGACCATTAAAATACGCCCAAGGTTTGTTGTGGGCTTGTTTTTCCCAATGACGCCAAAATAAAACTGCCTACCACAGCTTTATAGTTGTTTTTTTTAGTGGCCTGAGTTAGCCTCTGCTTACGTCACTGATCTAATCTGGGATGTTACTATGAATAGGTATCATGCTCTGTAGGGTGCCATGCAATTCACACCACGTATGACCTCTCTGTCCCTCACGTATCCCAAATAAAGGTGCACGGTGTACAATTATTAACACCTCGAGGCCCAAAATGACCAAAATATGTCCACAAGGACTTTACAGGGTTAGTCATCAATGTTTGCTCAATGTTTGCTCCACCGGGGGATTCCTGGCTTTAAATAACTCACTTCACAGCCCAAACAAGAACCTGCTACTCAGTTTCTGATGGATAAATGAATAATTTAGTTACACATTAACATAATACCATTATTAGTCACACCTGTTCATTTTATAAGTATATGCAACAGCAGTGCACTGCTAAAGTGTAATCTAAAATCATTTCTTTAATGCATTAGCATCTACTACAACTGTCTGGACAAAATGTTTTACAGGTAGAGGGGAGGAAAACAGAAACAGGAAAGTAGAGAGATGGAAAGGAAGGGACGGAGGGAAGTAATAGGAGAAATAGAAAAGAGAAACTATAAAAAAGAGAGAAAATGTAAAGATAGAAATACAGAGAGTAAGAAAAAGATACAATGGAAAGGATGGAAGGAAGGAAAAAATAAAGAAAAGGAGGAGAGAGAAGAACAAAAAAATCAGAAAGAAGAGAGGAAGGAAAGAAAGAATGAAGGAAAGAAAGAGAGGATGAAATAATAAATGAGTAAAGACAGAAAGAAAAGATAGAGAAGATCAAGGAAGGAGAAGATGACAGAAATAATGAACATAAGGGCCCTGACACAACAAGTCAATGGTCGGCCATAGGTCAGTGTTGAGCCTTTAGTGAGCATCTGTCATTGCCCGAGTTAGTGCGGTGTGTCCTACACTGTTGGCCCTCGTTGGCCCCTGCCGGCTGTTTTTTGGCATTCAGCACGTCAGTGAATAAAATCACTCTGACTGGCAGTTCAGCTCAGCGCACCAGAATCAAAACGGAAGCGAGGAAAGTAAAAAAAGAGCTGAAGTCATGAGGGAGTGAACTCAAAACAAACTCCTTCCATAAGGTAGGATTATTTTTCTTTATCCAATGTTCATTAGCCAAAACATTATTGTTCACTAGTGCATGGTAAAAATGCTCTGTTTCTTCAACATCGGATCACATTGTTAATGTGCTAACTGGCTAACTAGCATCTTAAATCCGTTCCGTCAGTCTTCCGGTTTCCCTTTTTGAATGACAAATACAGACTGCAACGTCTGCTGGTGTAGAAAGCTATTTCCTCTCACGCAAGCGCAGAACATACGTGCTTGTTGGCTGTTGGCTGCAGTCTTTGCGGTGTGTTCTTTTGCAACTTTGTGGCCAAGACATGCCGATGCCACGTAACGCAGCAGGGGACGCAGCAGGGGGTGTCGCTAGTTCTCTGAAGTCGGTATGGTGTGTCTGGGCCTTAACCTAGGAAGGAAAAGGAAAACTAAGAAATAATAAAGGACAGAGAGGAGGATAGGGAGGAAATAAGGAAGGAGGGGAGAAAGGAAGGGGGAAAGAAAAAGAAAAGTAGAGAGAATGAAAGAAAGAAAAGGAAGACAAATGGTAAGGAAGGATGGACGGTAGGAAGGAAAAAAGAAAGAAGAGGACAGGAAGAACAGAAAAAAGTTGGAGGAAAGAAAGAAAGAAAGAAAGAAAGAAAGAAAGAAAGAACAGGACATACTTGGGAGCCTTTCACTTGTAGCATATTTTGAAAAACCTGGGGAACTTTCATTAAGGGAGCCACGATTTTCAATTTATTTTCAATTACACACAACATCATTAATAGCACGGTGAGGGTATGGCTCGGCCCTGCGGCACTGACACTGTGTCACTACAGTTGAAATGACTGCACACTTAAAATGGCATGCCGAAACAAGCCTCACTGTGAATGAGGGGTGCAAAATGAGTTATTCTGCTGTGTGTGTGAAAGTAGCACTTCTGACTGTGTGAATTTGTTTCTTAAGTTTTAGGGGAACAAATTCGACACTCTGATAAGTTGGTGTCATTTTTGGCCAATTTACAGTTGAATGAGGGGTAAACAGGAGGTCAGGATTTGGATTAAAGAAAATACTTGGTCAGGCGTTTTATGCTTGAAGATAAGACTATAAGGGAACGACATAACAGTTTCAGGTTATATTATTTGTGAAATTTCTTCGTAAAAATAGTGATACAGTACATGTGTGTATTTTAACTCTGCGTGCGCCTGCATGTTTCAAAGTGCCTGCGTGTAAAGGTGAGGGAATTTGATTTTAAAATGAGTCTACTGCAGGCTTTCGGCAGAGAAAATGAGCTGCTCTATTTTCCAACGGCAAGTGTTTCCATGGAGGGAAGTCTGGCTGCTCGCTGCCTTGTCTCCAGAGAGACACTCAGCCAAAAAAAGAAAAAAAAAAAGAAAAGAAAAGAAAAAAAAAAAGAAAACTGGCAACAAAAGAGGATAAATTGCAGTCTGAGCATGAGAAAGACATTGGTCTGTCCCAGAAATCTGCACAACAAAGACGAGGAAGATCCCTCCAAAAAAAAAAAAAAAAAGGACAACAAAAACTATGTATCCGCGTGCTGTTACTACTTCCATGTCAGCACCGTGAAATTGCCCCGAATCATCAACTCCGCCACTCTGCATAATCAAACAGCACCAGAATACAAATGTGACCTAAATTTATTTTAATGTTCAGAGCTATGTGAGGACAGCAGTTGCACATGCCGGACCATTAAATAATTAATCTGCCATAAATGGAAATTGATGGTTTAGGCCTGTATGTGTGTGTATACCTGGGTTAAATTAATTTACAATCAAAACCTGGGGCAGCGCTGTGTGAAGCCAACCCTCTCCTGATGTGTGGGTGGGCCTACAGCTATATCAAATTGGTATTTGTGGGAACGCCCACAAAAAGTCACATTCTTTTACGCCGACGGGGAAAACAAAGAATTTAGAAAAGTTGCTGTGTGGTTGTTTGCATGTCAAATAAAGTTAAAGATACAGACTTAAAGGGTATTTTTCAAAGTGGACCCTATTTGTCATGTTTTTGTCTAAGTGATTAATGGGAGCAACATTTTTTGAAATTAGTCCAGTGTTGAGCAAGAGCAGTGGGCAGGTTGCAATATAATCACACAAGGTATGTTCAAACCATCAATTTACATCCACTTTAATGCTTTTTCCTTCCACAGACTGTGAAAATAATGGACGTAGCTACCGTGACAACACCTACTTTGATCAACCATAACAAACTTTGGTTTGGTTGAAATAAACCCTTAGTTCAACAAATCAGATGTAAAAACATGCTGTTAGAAGTGACCATATTTGGGCGAGAGGGTGGAGATGGAGGAGCGAGGGGTGGATCTGTTGGGTAACTCAAAGTGAACCACCCTTAATTATGCGTACCACACCACTGGGCTATCCCATGATTGAATTCACCACATAATTAGCTACAGTAGCTGCATGGGTAGCCAGCTCATCTAATGCTAATGGTAAGTTAGCAAGTTAACATGACTAACTTTTTTCTATTTCATTAGAATGAAATGACAAAACATAATTAAACTTAACATGAATAAAACTTAAATAACTTAAATCCTACATGCACATTATTTCTGCCTGAGTCACGTCAGATAAACTTTCACCAGCAATGAATGATCCCACACTACTTCACAACGTCAACAAAGTCCA